GAAAGGAAAAAATCGAAATTGAAGAGAAGAATCTGCGTTCATAATTTTATTCCAACTGGAGCTTTCTATAAGTATCTGTTTCTACTCAATGTCACTATTTGGACTTAGAAATGAAAGATTGTTGTCGACGTGTTTTTTCCCCGATCGTTTGTGCTTTAAACCCCTATATCTGTTATTTCAATTATTTGTATTCATCTCTATGTTTGAAATATTGATAAATTCAAATATACTTTGGTATAAATTCTGTTTGATGAAAAAGAAGATGGAGAGACAATTAGAGATGTGACTGAATAATGAGAAGTTGGGGCTGAGGTTTTTATTTTTCGATATCTTCCTCAATCAGAGGGAAGGAAGAATTTATTTGAAATAAATACTAAATCATTGAGTTCATTTTATTTTGTTATGATATTTTATTGATTTTCCCCCCTTGAAATCAAGAGAAGTTGAAGAATGGATGATAGTAGTGCTAGAGTAGTTCAGTATTCCCATACACATCCATTGCAATTTATGTAATATTATCTACTTTTTATGAAAATATTACTGTTGCACATATTGTTTGGTATTATATACATAATTATGTTAGCCGCCCTAGAAATTATTTTATTAGATCATGTGTTGTGATGTGTCATTTGCTTGGAGATATGATATAATTAGAGATTTCTTAAACATGTACTTAACTTATGGCTAGTTTGTGATAACTATGTCATTACCGGTTGTCATGTATGACACTAACCTAAGTGATGTAGTGGTGGATCTCAGCCACCGGCATTGAAAACTCGCCAGGTGTATGTCATGAGCACAAACTGTGATGTATAGTACTAGATTTTCTAGGACAGATCACCTAAGAGCTAGATAATTCAAATTGCTATGTGGTCCTTTAGAATTGATGATATTGTCATTTCCAATTTAATAATCTAGTATACTTTAATGTGATGGTTAATTTATTTATTGCGAGTGCTACAAAACCTAAAACATTGGTTTACTATATTTCATTTAGGAAAATAATGGATATTAAAATAAGATCTAATATGCTCATTATGAAGAGAATAATTTATTAGCAATTCTAGGAAGTTATGAAACCTAGCTGGCAGGTGGTTTTGTAAAAGTTTTCAAAATCTATTTATTATAGCATATTATCGATATTTTAGAAATGATTTTTTGTTCATGAAGATTGAAACTTTTTAGACGAGCACATAGGTTAGTTGTCCTACTCATTAATTTGTCTCGAAGAAAAATAAACTGATGCTGCAAGAATGTAAGAAAATAATATTTGTGCAATATTTAATCGCATATTATGAAAGAGCTTTCATGATTAGTTGGCCAGAAAGAAATTTGATTGTTAAATTAAAATTATTAGTTTGATTAATAATTGGTTTTCGATATGGGATCCAACTGATCTCATTAATATTATTAAGAGAGGTCTAGCTGCAATACAGTTCTATGTTATCCATAATAATTATGGATAGACCTGTCCATACGGGCCGGCCCGGCTAGGTCCGGCCCGAAAATCCGGGCCCGACTCCGGGCCGGCCCGGTTTTTTTTATTTTTAATTTTTTTTTTAAATTTTAAAAAAACAATAAAACATAAAATATACATAAAAATTACAAAAAATAACATAAATTTTTTTAATTAATTGAAATGACATAAATTACAAGTACAAAAAATTATAACAATAAAAGATGATAAAAATAATTTTTTTATTAATAATCATGTCATTCATATATTATACATAAACAAATT